ACGTTTTACTGTACACTTCCAGGTTTGTACACCCGGTGACAGAGAAAACAAAAGTGCTTACCAATATGGAACAGGGACATTGACGCGCCAATCAATCAATCAATCAATTATTTATACAATCGTTCACAATCTATAATATCAATTCACAGATAAGTCAATAGGACAACTTTGCCGGGTTGAAAAGTGTAAGAAAGTCTGACACGGGTGTACGTGTAAAAAAAAAAGGTGGTTTGGGGGGTGGGGCGCTATTGACAGACGAGAAGACGACCAAGGTATATTTTCACCAGTGACGACAAGTGCTTGAATATTAAATAAAGCGTTTGTTTGATTTGAAGGCATAGCGGCGAACCTAGTTCACAATCTATAATATCAATTCACAGATAAGTCAATAGGACAACTTTGCCGGGTTGAAAAGTGTAAGAAAGTCTGACACGGGTGTACGTGTAAAAAAAAAGGTGGTTTGGGGGGGGGGGCGCTATTGACAGACGAGAAGACGACCAAGGTATATTTTCACCAGTGACGACAAGTGCTTGAATATTAAATAAAGCGTTTGTTTGATTTGAAGGCATAGCGGCGAACCTTGTGGCTATCCAGTTTAATTTACCGGGGAGTTTGACTTCTCAAGTCATGCAACAAGAATTCTTCGTTTGCGCTAGTGAGTGTTGGTGAGTGCTGTGATGTGTCATGCCGATATCTGGATTACGCGAGAGCGACTCGTCTTCGCGTAACTCGCTATGTCATCTGTTAAAAAGATTCTAGTTGATGAACTTTCTGTAAAGCTATGATACTGGAGTGTGAGTCTTTGTTGAGTTGATAGATGATGTCAACAGGTGCACCGTTGTGTTTACTGGAGTGTGGGTTTGTGAAATGTATTGTATAAACACAGGTAGGTGGGCTTTAGTGTGGAGTTTTTTTTATAAAAATATTGAACTCCGGGGCTTATTTTATTGTTGTGGTTTTATATAATGGGGCCTTGGAATCATCAGTGACTATAAACTCTTTTATATAATGGGGCCTTTGAATCATCAGTGACTATAAACTCTTTTATATAATGGGGCCTTGGAATCATCAGTGACTATAAACTCTTTTAATCAGAGAGGGAAAATAGCAAAGCCCTTAAGTTAACTACTCGTAATAACATTGGATTGTCTTTTGTCAGGGATGGCTGTAGCCAGGTCCGACCTTAATCAGCGACGGTCTTATTCAGAGCCGGCCTTAGTCAGGGCTGGTCTTAGTCAGAGCCGGCTTTAGTCAGGACTAGCTTTAGTCAGAGACGGCCTTAGTGAGGGCCGGCATTAGTCAGGGCCGGCCTTGGTCAGGACCGGCCTTAGTCAGGTCCGGCTTTAGTCAGAGCCGGCCTTGGTCAAGACCGGCCTTAGTCAGAGACGGCTTTCGTCAGAGGCGGTTTTAGTCAGGGCCGGCTTTAGTCAGATGCGGCCCTAATCAGAGACGGCCTTAGTCAGAGCCGGCCTTAGTCAGGGCTTCCCTTAATCAGGGCCGACTTAAGTGAGAGCCTGAAAGCCTCACATTTATCATAATTGGTTTGTGAAAGCGCCTTCGCGCATTTTCTGACAAACATACCACACTGATTTCAAACAGCCAGCTTAAAACAACAACACAAAAAAATAAAAAAGAGGTGGTCTCTCTTATCCATAACATTTCTTATTTCCACGTTTGACTGACTAAGTAGGTTCATCTTTCCCTCGGTTACGCCACCTTCTTTTTTTTTTTTTTTTTTTTTTTCAAAATAAAAACAACTAAACAAAAAAAATCGTCCCTGTTTTTGAAAGAATATAATGGCGGTAAAGTGTTTTCAATGAAACTAGACCGATGAGAGATAGCTTGTGTCAACAAAACATTACTGACGTGCTGAAACCAGGGCGGACTCTAGGAGTAGGGGGGGTGGTGGGTGGTGGTGGCATGTCACTGTATCGGTTAATAAAAATCACTTGGCATAGGCCCCACCTGTGTGTACCATTACTCCAGAGCATTTTTTGTTCACCGGTGTAAGTAAAACTTATCCGCCCTAAAAAAGCCACCCATTGCTACTTGTCGGATCCGCCGCTGCATGTGGTCCACTGGCGGCTACTACAACGTAATAGTTTCGGCTACTTGTCGTTTTCCTAATATCCGTGCTCTATAAAAAATTAAAATAATACTTTTTTAGTAACGATAATTCAAACCATGTTATCCTTAATTTTAAGATTGCAGTGCCATGTTCGGGCAGTATTGGTGACCGAATTAGTATTTTTAAACAGTGGCGTAGCCTGCTTTTGTGACGCTCTGAGTGGTCTTGGACTAGGCGAACAAATCAGGAAATCACAATGCATTCAGAAACAACACACGAAAAACACGATTTAATAATGTCTACCAAGTTGATAAATGATGCCACCCCCCCTTCAACCCCAACCCCCCACCCCAACAAAAGAAAATGGCGCCCTAAGTGGACCACTCGCGTGCATCGTTTTCCTACTGGTGTTAATGAAATAGTCAATCGAGTAAACATGATTCAATTCTAATTTCAAAAGTTAAAAAGAACTTACTTCTATCCGTTCAAATGTTTAAATAACAAGATATCCATAATATTGAAATCCAGTGACTTAACTATTCATACATAAACTATAAAGATTCGTGAAACGTAATGAGATTTTATTTCATAGTTACAAAAACTTATAAAACTAGGACGCGATTAATTGTAGACAATTTAAAAAAAAGGGGGAAAGGCAGACTGGATAATACCGGTTTTTATGTTGTCAATAGCTGTGGCTGCCAAAGGTTTTAGCCAAATATGTTGTCAATAGCTGTGGCTGCCAAAGGTTTCAGCCAAATATGTTGTCAATAGCTGTGGCTGCCAAATGTTTTAGCCAAATATGTTGTCAATAGCTGTGGCTGCCAAAGGTTTTAGCCAAATATGTTGTCAATAGCTGTGGCTGCCAAAGGTTTTAGCCAAATATGTTGTCAATAGCGGTGGCTGCCAAATGTTTTAGCCAAATATGTTGTCAATAGCTGTGGTTGGTCAAGGTTTTAGCCAAATATGTTGTCAATAGCTGTGGCTGCCAAAGGTTTTAGCCAAATATGTTGTCAATAGCTGTGGCTGCCAAATGTTTTAGCCAAATATGTTGTCAATAGCTGTGGCTGCCAAAGGTTTTAGCCAAATATGTTGTCAATAGCCCTGGCTGCTCAAGGTTTTAGCCACATATGTTGTCAATAGATGCGGCTGCCAAAGGTTTTAGCCAGATATGTTGTCAATAGCTGTGGCTGCTCAAGGTTTTAGCCACATATGTTGTCAATAGATGCGGCTGCCAAAGGTTTTAGCCAAATATGTTGTCAATAGCTGTGGCTGGTCAAGGTTTTAGCCACATATGTTGTCAATAGATGCGGCTGCCAAAGGTTTTAGCCAAATATGTTGTCAATAGCTGTGGCTGGTCAAGGTTTTAGCCACATATGTTGTCAATAGATGCGGCTGCCAAAGGTTTTAGCCAAATATGTTGTCAATAGCTGTGGCTGGTCAAGGTTTTAGCCACATATGTTGTCAATATCTGTGATTGCTCAAGGTTTTAGCCAAATATGTTGTCAATATATGTGTCTGCTCAAGGTTTTTGCCAAATATGTTGTCAATAGCTGTGGCTGTTCAAAGTTTTAGCCAAATATGTTGTCAATAGCTGTGGCTGCTCAAGGTTTTAGCCAAATATGTTGTCAATAGCTGTGGCTGTTCAAAGTTTTAGCCAAATATGTTGTCAATAGCTGTGGTTGCTTAAGGGTTTACCCAAATATGTTGTCAATAGTTTTGGTTGCTTAAGGTTTTAGCCAAATATGTTGTCAATAGCTGTGGTTGCTTAAGGGTTTAGCCAAAAATGTTGACAATAGCTTTGGGTGCACAAGGTTTTAGCCAAATATGTTGTCAATAGCTGTGGCTGTTCAAAGTTTTAGCCAAATATGTTGTCAATAGCTGTGGCTGTTCAACGTTTTAGCCAAATATGTTGTCAATAGCTGTGGTTGCTTAAGGGTTTACCCAAATATGTTGTCAATAGTTTTGGTTGCTTAAGGTTTTAGCCAAATATGTTGTAAATAGTTTTGGTTGCTTAAGGTTTTAGCCAAATATGTTGTCAATAGTTTTGGTTGCTTAAGGTTTTAGCCAAATATGTTGACAATAGTTTTGGTTGCTTAAAGTTTTAGCCAAATATGTTGACAATAGTTTTGGTTACTTAAGGTTTTAGCCAAATATGTTGACAATAGTTTTGGTTGCTTAAGGTTTTAGCCAAATATGTTGACAATAGTTTTGGTTGCTTAAGGGTTTAGCCAAATATATGGACAATAGCTTTGGGTGCACAAGGTTTTAGCCAAATATGTTGTCAATAGCTGTGGTTGCTTAAGGGTTTAGCCAAATATATGGACAATAGCTTTGGGTGCACAAGGTTTTAGCCAAATATGTTGTCAATAGCTGTGGTTGCTTAAGGGTTTAGCCAAATATATGGACAATAGCTTTGGGTGCACAAGGTTTTAGCCAAATATGTTGTCAATAGCTGTGGTTGCTTGAGGGTTTAGCCAAATATATGGACAATAGCTTTGGGTGCACAAGGTTTTAGCCAAATATGTTGTCAATAGCTGTGGTTGCTTGAGGGTTTAGCCAAATATATGGACAATAGCTTTGGGTGCACAAGGTTTTAGCCAAATATGTTGTCAATAGCTGTGGTTGCTTGAGGGTTTAGCCAAATATATGGACAATAGCTTTGGGTGCACAAGGTACTTTGGTATCACCTATGTCCCCCTCAAGATGGGGGAACTAATTGACCTACTTCCTGAACCCCCCCTACCCCCCCCCCCCCCCTCCCCCCCCCCCCTCTCGGATGGTTAACCTATTGAAAACTATAACGTGCACTGTGAACTTTACCCAACTTTATCTGCAGCAGGCGTCAATTTCGCTTTCCACAAACTCAGAATTTTTTTTTTTATCTTGCCGTTTTGTTTTGAGCTTTTATAATTTTTTTTTTTTGTTCAACAGCTCTCCATGAAATCTGGGGGTCTCTAACAGAGATAAGCTCTCACTAGATACACATCGAGGACTTTCCAACATGGCGTAGCCCTGTCTGCTTGGATGTAGTGCTTTCGTGTGTGTGTGTGTGTGTGTGTGGTCACGATTTATTTGAAACATTCATTTCATCAAAGCGACACCACACGTGGAGTCCTTTAACACAGAAGTGAAGGGAGGATGGGGTCAGGTGAACCGCTGCACACCCTTCCAGTGGACAAAGGATGGGCATGGGTCATTTGTTTCGGTGAGTATGACTTAAAATTTTTTTAAAAAAAATTGATAAAAAAATATGGATTTTATTTTCAGTTAGTGTAGCAGTTCTCTACCTGGGGGATCGTACGACCCTTAAACAGGGGTCGCCTTAGACCAGTGGTTCTCAACCTTCCTAGTGCCGCGACCCTTTAATACAGTTCCTCATGTTGTGGCGACCCCTAATCACAAAATTATTTTCGTTGATACTTTATAACTGTAGAGTATAAGTGTTTTCAGATGGTCTTAGGCGACCCTGGAAAAGGGTCGTGCGATCCCCAAAGGGGTCGCAACCCACAGGTTGAGAACCGCTGCCTTAGACCATCAGAAAAACACATACTTATGAAGTGGAAACGAAAATAATTTTATGGTTGAGGGTCTCCACCACACGATGAGGAACTGTATGACAGGAGAATTCGATGGCATTAGTACACACGGCAGGCCCACAAATGAAATGGCATTGTTGCTTTGTCCCGAACAAACGAACCCTTTGATTCAGGCCCAAAAGAAATCTGGGGCCAATTGAAAAGTCCCATTGTGAAACCTCGTCTGCTTTTTTTAAAAAAAAATTGACATGAATGATGAGCCGGTCACGTGATCTTATTAGTTTACAACTGTACATTCGTTGTGTCCAGCTATCGACAATCTTATTTTACGCCGAATCCAGCAACCAACTCTGGCGCATCTTGGTAACAAAAGAAAGAAGAAGAAAAGAGTCATATATATAATATATATATAGGTCATGATGTCAGAAAGTGATTCCATTTACTTTTCAGGGGTTCGAACAGATGCACTGTCCTCTCAAATGAAACTCTAGAATATAAAAAGATAGACATTTTATTAAAAAAAATTTTTTGTTTAAATTCATAGATCAAAAAGTAAGTTACATATTTAATGTCATATCCGGAAATTTGATCGAAAGGGAATTTGGTCGCATCTTCTTTTCAGTTTTTACGTTAAGATTTTGCTTCAAATTTCTTTATGAACCCCTTTTTTTTTGTTTTACTATGAAGTATTGTACGTTCAAAAAGAAATTTGACGAAAATTTAAAGCGTGAACTGAAAAAAAAGATTCGACCAAATTGCCGTTCGATTAAATTTCCGTCGATCAATTTACCATCGACGAAATTTATTTCGATTAAATTTCCGGCAACCATTTAGTTTGTGTATAATGTACATACATGTAATCTTATCGTTCCCCTCTTGGGTCCGACGATGCCTAAATTGTATTTCCCGAATTCCTTTGTTTTATTTTTTTTTTCTTGCGACAGCTGGGTTCCTGGTTCATATCATATTCGGCAGTTCCGGTCAGACCAACACGGTGATGCTGGGAGAGTTGATAGAGAAGTATGACACGACCATCACCACGATATCACTGATGTTCACATTCGGCATTAGCACCTTCAGCCTCTTCTTTCAGTATGGAGCGGGGTGGGGGGGGGGGGGCGGTGCAGGAAGGGTGATGTTGGGGTTGTCTACCTGGTTTGAAGTTATTATAACTTTTTTTACACAAGGGGCCGTAATTTCGACCAACGGCACTTTTTTTTTGAAAGAAGGAACGTGAAAAAATTATTGGCCCACCCCAGGTGGCACTAACCCTAGTTACGCCGCTGCGGGTACTAAAGACGAGATAGAAGTGCACATTCGGGCGGTGTATATCCAGGTGTGTAATTAAGAGGAGGAGTATAAACCTAGCATTTATCTAAAACAACAACTAAGTAATGAACCCTATCACAAGGGGAACCTTACTTTTATCTTTAGAGTTGACACTTGAAAAGATCCATGACGCAAAAAATATATATATCTTTAAATGTGTCAGTTACTACTCCCCACCTCTGATTAGAGCTTAAGTTTGGTTTTAGTTACTCCTCCGTTAGTATTTAAGTTTAGCTTGATTTATTTTTTTGCGATTGAAACACAAGACCATAACTTATTACCGATTACTCCCCACCACCCAGCCACACACCCCACTCCCCCATTTTATTTTTCTCCATAAAGCCACTCTAGGGACTAACACATTTAAGAAAGTTAAATTTAAAATAAAATTTAAAAAAAAAAAAAAATCATTATAAAGATAATAATAACAAATGGAACAGATTAATGACACACTGTAACACACTTTTCGGATACACGTTTTCTCCTCAGAGCCAAGCGACTGAGAATTGCAACTATTTTATAACCGTAAATTTGAAAGGAAAGAAGACGCGTGATGGTCATAAATATATTCTTGTTCATCTTTCCCTTCCTGACGTTCTAGCCGTGATATCTGCTACGTTCATCCTGCCGAAGATAGGAGAGAAGAAGTGCGTGATCATCGGAGGTATCCTGGCCTCAATATCTTCTATAGGTCAAGGCCTGTCACCACATGTGGCCGGCATCATAGCCATGGAAGCGGTCAGGGGTAAGTTGGAGAAGATTTAGCTTGTTTTTTTTTTGTTGCTCCCGGCAATTTGATGGAGTTCTAAAATACCTGGCAACACATGGTGATGAGACCTAAACCCTTTTGCCATGCGTTTAAATAAGTGCAATGATACATATATTATACGTGCGATAATACATATCTAAGTCATAAGTGCAATAATACATGTATACGTGCAATAATACATATCTACGTGCAATAATACATATCTACGTGCAATAATTCACATATACGTGCAATAATACATGTACACGTGCAATAATTCACATATACGTGCAATAATACATGTACACGTGCAATAATTCACATATACGTGCAATAATACATATCTACGTGCAATAATTCACATATACGTGCAATAATACATGTACACGTGCAATAATTCACATATACGTGCAATAATACATATGTACGTGCAATAATTCACATATACGTGCAATAATACATATACACGTGCAATATGTTGTTCGTCCGTCGAAGTCGACAAGGACCATCGAATTCATCCGGTTAGGGGCGGGCGGGGAGGGAGGGGGGGAGGCTTGGGATTACGGTGAGCTCTTAGGTGGCTTGTTAGATCGATCCTTGCTTGGAAATCTATGACACCGTGGGCATGGAATAGTTGCAATATAACAGTGTAGTGGCAATAAACGTTTCATATCATTTGTAGAATAATATTTTCTTGGAGCGTAGATCAATCAACTTGTTCCTAATTTGATGATCATGACAACGTTGAAACTATGATCTGGCAGCACCATCAACATGTCCCTTCATTTTCTAGGGTATCAACTTAAACACGAGCAAAGATCAACAATAAATTAGTAAGACGTTTCTATGTGCATACCCCACCAGAGGTCCAGCAGTGTCCTTTAGAAAGGTTGCCATTAGCCATAAAACACAACACTCTAAATGTACATCTGTCTAGTTCTACCGCCAAAAACCCCAATTAAGTGTAAAAAAAAAAAATAAGGGGGAATCCATTACATATCTTCTTGTGCTCACTGACTCCAGGGACTGCTCACGGCATCATCTTTGTGCCGGCCATGTGTCTGACCCGCCAGTACTTCAAGAGGCTGAGGTCCACCGCCAGCGTCATCGTCTTCTGCGGCGGTTGTGTGGCGGCCATCGTAGCGCCTTTCATCATCCGCCAGGTCAGGAAAGAGTACGGAATAACGGGGACCTACTTGCTGCTGAGCGCCATGGAGCTGCACTTCGTGGTGGCCGGACTCCTGCTCAGACCAGTCACTGCTTACAGGTAACACAGCCTGCGCCCGTCGCATTAGTTGCTGGGTTTCTGTTACCCTTTGAAAATTGTTTTATGAAGAAATAATGTACTAACAAATAAATAAGAAAAGTAAATAGTACATGCAGGGGCGTGGCTAACATATTTCTCCCCCCCCCCACACTTTGCTAAAACTCTCTGTAGTCTGCCGAAATGCTGGCCCTCAATATATAGCCACGTCTAGGGTGGCTTCGCCCGTTTCCACATTAACATGTCAATGTCTTAAATATTTAGGCCTATTAAATGAATTTCAATAATTTGTTAACCTTATTTAGATAGGTCATTAATTTGACATCAAATTAATTGTGTTTTATTTGTCTTTGTTATTGGAACTAAAACTTAACTTGGTTTTTTTGTAAATGAGGCCAGATAAGACTTGCGAAAAAAACAACAATTGTGATAAAAATTATCAATTCACATCACTAATTCGAGAATATTAAAATATTTTTAAAATCTGATCTAATTTATGGACAACCTTTATAGATATGAACTTCTTTTACACAAGAACTTTCGTAGAAAATAAATTATATTTATTTAGCCGAATTTGAACTTTTAAACAAGAGACATGTTCAACTCTCTTGCCATATTTCCCATTCTCTTATCTTCTCACTTCCATGCGTATACTTGTTCCATAGAAATGTTACGCCTTCTTTAACATTGGAGGTACTGGGAACCTCAGCAACAGTCCCAGACGCCGAGACGACAGTAGATGAAGACGTCGAGACGGGCGAAGTGAAAGAGACACCTCTGTTGAGCGTTTCCACTGGGAACATCAACGGACTCACCAAGGCGGTCAAGGTCGCTGACCGCGGTCAAACAAATGGGGTGAACAACGGGGTCGCGGACGCTGAGGTCAAGGAGAGATTGCTGAGGTCCACTAGCATTGAGGATCCGATGGCACTACGTCCGAGGTTATTCAGTAGAGGGATGTCCGTGGACTCGACAGGGGGCTACAGAAGTGAAAGGTGAGAACACGCGTGTTGTAACGTCCAACAAATGGCATGGCGTAACTCCTCGGTTCACGGCTCGGAGAATTCAACATAGTTAGATGGTAGCATTCCCAATAAAAAATCAGAACGAAACTCAATATTTATCTGAAAATGTATATAAAATATTAATGAAACGGGCCAAGGCCATAAGTTCAAACAATAAAGATGCCCTAATCCAGGGAATCCCAAACTTTTCTTTAATCTGAACCCCATTGTAGTTTTTTTGACTAATACTTACACCCACTACAAAATGAATACCCCAGATTTTGAGATTATGTCCCACACTATAAGTGTCATTGGAGTAAAAAGGAGCTATACTGAGGACAGTAGACAACAGTAGCCTCTATAGTAGTCTTAAAGCTTATAGAAACTTCAGCGACTTTTTGTTTCCTCTCTACCCCAGCACGTTGCATCAATGTAGTGAATAAATATGTATTTATAATTTCTGTTTGCAATTAATTAAATGTTTTAATTTAAAGAATTCGAAGTACAAGATTACTGCAGATGGCATCTCTACTACGTTCTTTCTACCAATCTATCACTCCCTGCCTGCGGCTATGGAAAAATTGGCAGAAAGGATTAAAAAAAAAACAAACAAAAAAACTGGTTCTGTGCTCTTCATTTTATTTTAATTTAATCTGACTGTATGCATTGTTGGATAATTTGACGGGTCACGGGCTAAATAAATGTTTAACATCGTGAAATGTGTGTCATCATTTGATATATATATTTTTTTTTTTCTTCTTGAAATATGCCAATTCGTTTAAAACAAACACTAAAGGATCAAAGCAAACTTTGGAAGTGTTCTCACACTGACCAGTGAACATGGGGCAGCTGCAGAGGGGTACATGGAAACCCAGCCACAGCCAGATTCAACCGACAAGGGAGGTGCCGGGAAAAGCAGATTCCAGAAGTTTTATTCCGATGCATCTCTGAAGTAAGTCAATAGCCAGACTCCGGCAGCCCGATCCCGAGTGTGTGACAGCCAGACTCCGGCAGCCCGATCCCGAGTGTGTGACAGCCAGACTCCGGCAGCGCGATCCCGAGTGTATAATGTATTTGTACCTTCCAAAAACTAGTTTCATCAGCAATGGGGGAAAATACATACAATATATATATTTGTAACGGGGAACAACAAATTAACGACAAAAAAGTGCACACAATTTTATTTTAAAAATAGTTGTCAGTGATGAAACACGTGAGAATACCCTTGAAGATATTTTAAAGCAAATATAATATCAACTAAAGTTAATGTTTACGGATACATTTTTGTCCTGTATGGAATATTAGACCTTTGCTAAACACATTTGTTGCTTTAATACTTTCAATGTTGGTGTGGTCAAGAAGCCATAGGCTTGCTGAGTTTGATACCAGGAGGAGAACATCAATGAAAGAAAAGGACATTGTATTTTTTTGTTTGTTTTGTTTTGCAAGAGTGTATTTCTACCGAAAATACATCTGTTGTTTATACAAGAACACGCATCTGTAGTTTACACAAGAACACGCATCTGTAGTTTATACAAGAACACACATCTGTAGTTTACACAAGAACACACACTATCTGTAGTTTACACAAGAACACACTTCTGTATTTTATACAAGAACACGCATCTGTAGTTTATACAAGAACACGCATCTGTTGTTTACACAAGAACACACATCTGTAGTTTACACAAGAACACACACTATCTGTAGTTTACACAAGAACACACTTCTGTATTTTATACAAGAACACACATCTGTAGTTTACACAAGAACACACATCTGTTGTTTACACAAGAACACACATCTGTAGTTTACACAAGAACACACACTATCTGTAAGTTTACACAAGAACACACTTCTGTATTTTATACAAGAACACACATCTGTAGTTTATACAAGAACACGCATCTGTTGTTTACACAAGAACACACACTATCTGTAGTTTATACAAGAACACACATCTGTAGTTTATACTAGAACACACGTATGTAGTTTATGCGAAACAATTCTGTCAGTTTTCTATCTCTTTAACTTCCTTTCTTGTGTACGTTTCGTAAACAATGTGTTTCCATTAGAATCTGCTTTATGAAATGATGAATGTTCTCAGCTGAGTGTCTTGATCAGTATAATATTGTGTTCTGGTTTGACTGCAGCTGCAACAATCTTGGTGGAGTGGGTAGTTTGCGTTTCTTTAGTAAAAATTCTGTTATAACACATCGTGAGACACAACGTCATCTCTCTGGGTCATTCGTCAACAGCTTGTGGGCGTTTCGCCTGGCTCTGGTAGCTGTCATACCAGGAACCGTCACCGTGTACATCGCCATCTACACACCGATGATATTACACTCTCAGGTAAAATAGTGCATACATATAATGTTACAATCTCAGGTAAAATAGTGCATACATATAATGTTACGCCCTCAGGTAAAATAGTGCATACATATAATGTTACGCTCTCAGGTAAAATAGTGCATACATCTAATGCTACGCTCTCAGGTAAAATAGTGCATACATCTAATGTTACGCTGTCAGGTAAAATATAACATAGCTATAATATTACACTCTGATGTAAAATACTGCATACCTTTAATGTTACATTATCAGGTAATATATTCCATAACTATAACATTGCAATAACAGGTAAAAAAAATAATAAAGCTTCATCATATTAAAACTCTTTGTCCCTAAATGAACAATGAAATATGGCATTGGCTTTAAGTTAAAATAAAACAATTTCATTCTTTGTTGTTGTTTTTTTAACGTAGTTTGATGGTTGTTTTTTTTTTTTAAATTTTTAAATTTTTTAAAATTTTAGTAATGTTTTTATTCAAATCAATTCACATTTGATATGATTTTTATTTTCACCGCCATTGTTGCCTTGACCTCGTAACTTTGTGTATCTACCAGGGCGCGTCCCTAGATGAAGTGTCCATTCTACTGACCATCGTTGGGACACTTGACCTAATTAGTCGCCTGTCCATGGGCTTTCTGGCCGACACCCACATCCTGTCAGCCACTGTCATGTTGCTGATATCACAAATATTTATTGGCAAGTCCAGAAACATTTTACTGATCTAAGAAAATATTTCTATTTGTGACTTCCATGAAAAATTACAGAAATTAGTTAACAGCAAGAATGATGGTTACATTTTTTTTAAAAATCCTTCACATAGAATTATATGTAAAAACAATTCCATCATTAAGCAATAATTTTTTTCAATGTTTTAAATCTAATTTTGTCTAACAATATTCCCATTGCTTGATATTTTGATTGAGTCCCAGATAAGGGTATTTTTTTTCAACATTACCAATTATACACGATGCCCGTACTACATTTAATTTATTTACTTATATAGAAAGTCACTTTTTTTTTTGACGCCATGAATTAATATTAAATTTTAAAAAGCAAAGAGAAAAATATTCATCAAAGTTTAATGGAAATTTCTATTGTTAGGTTTAAGAAATTCAACTGGCCTTCGTACCAAGGTCTTATGTTTATGAAAAGCTTCTAGGCAGAAAAGGGGAATTTTAGTGTACCAAGAGTATCTGGATCCTCTGTTTTACAGCTGTGCTAACATTGCCAGCGGGATTTGAAATCCACGATCTTTCAAATCAACAAATATTTTTTTCAGAGTCGTTTAACGAAACTGTAGGTTTGTGCAGAACTATGTTCCTCCCATTTGTATCGTTGAACCATGTGTTTGACTTAAAATACCTCGGTACTCATAGAGCATGTTTGCCATGGACACATTTCTTACAGGAGTCGTGTGCCAGTTCGTCGGCATGTTCAACTCATTTGAAACGTTGATTCTGCTGTCCGTTTTACTTGGACTGGTCATCGGGACCAGGATATCACTCCTACCTCTGGTGGTCATCGAGGTGGTTGGGGTCGAGAAGATGCCCCAGGCGTTCAGCATCATCTCCATGATATCCACCATTACAGCAGCCGGAGTCAATCCCTTATTTGGTGAGTGTGCACTCATTAAAAACCCCGATTCGATACTGTTACATTAGGGATATTTAAAAAACAAAAAAAAAACACACACAATTCGATACTGTTACATTACGGACATTTGAAAAACCAAATTCGATACTGTTACATTACGGACATTAAAAAAAATCGATTCGATACTGTTACATTAAGGACATACAATAAAAAAAAAACTACATCAAACAACAAAGTCGAAATTTCTAAGGGTATCTAAAATTAGTTGTACGTTTTATTTTGGGTCATGAAAACCATTTTCTTTTTTAATTTAGAGATTATGTGCACATTAAATAACGTAAGTTATATATGTTTGAAAAATAACACGACAAATAACTTTGGACCATATTAGAGGCTCAAATATGTCACATTCCACAAATCCAATTCCACCAATCACATTCCACCAATCACATTGCACCAATCACAATCCACCAACCAAATTAGATTATTAAAATTACTCGATCACAATAAATCATTAAAGATATATCAATTTCATTTAATGTCAAATATACCAGCGACCATTGGTCAATTTAAAAAGTAACACCATCTATTCCGTCCTCAAAATAACATAAACATGTAACTTTGCACTCCATGAATACTTGTAAAAAACAAAAACACCTCAATTAGCAGTCCAATCATTATACTTATTTTAATTATTTTTTTTAATTGCACAAAAAGATTACATGAAAAAATATTTTCAAGTAAAAAAATCTAAGACTCTCTTCACCTAAACTACCACTGACCATACGATACTATTTTTTGTGTCATGTTATCATTCCAGGCGCTGTTACAGAAGCCAGTGGCGCCTTCCATCTGGCATTACACATTCTAGGAGGTTTCTTCTGGGCAGGGGCACTACTCTGGGCGTTTGTCCCTTTAATGATCAAAGTAGACTTAAAGAAAGGCAGGCGCACGTCCTAGCGGATAATTGTCATTTTTTTATTAAGGCAGCGGTTCTCAACCTTAGGGTCGCGACACCTTTGGAGGTCGAATGACCCTTACACAGGGGTCGCCTTAGACCATTTTAAAACACATGTTTGTGAAGTAGCAACAAAACTAATTTTATGGTTGGGAGTGGGGGGGGGGGGTTTCATCACAACATGAGGTACTGTATTAAAGGATGGCGGCGTTAGGAAGGTTGAGAACCACTGTAAGGTCGAATGACCCTTACACAGGGGTCGCCTTAGACCATTTTAAAACACATGTTTGTGAAGTAGCAACAAAACTAATTTTATGGTTGGGAGTGGGGGGGGGGGTTTCATCACAACATGAGGTACTGTATTAAAGGATCGCGGCGTTAGGAAGGTTGAGAACCACTGTATTACGGGGTGGGCGGGATTGGATGAGAAGAAAACAATGCGGGTCATGAGTTGAAAGTGTGGAATCGATTCGCCATTTGTCGGCAGGGGAACTCTCACTAACTATTTAACACGGTCAACATTAATTGTTATTAAGTCTCAAGGGAGATTTCTAAAAAAAGGAAGGAAATACATTGTTTGAGAGTGGTTATTTTGAGTGCACTGATATTTAACTGAGATGTAAGCGCGTTCAAATGATGTCTGACTGTTGTATTCCATGATGTGTAACTGTCACTTTTTTCCCATTGGAATGTAAAAACTAGACTGTTAATCGTTCAGTGAGTCTCGCTTGTGTACGGATAAAGTAACGAATACTTTTTTGAAAATGACCGACTTTATACAAACAAATACTGTTTAGTAATACATTGTTGTGGATTGTTCCCGATTATGTAATATATTTCAATAATTGTGTATGAAATTTAAAAGAAAAATAGTTTTAAAAAACATGACAAATTGAATGTATATTTGAGAACCCTGTTGTTTTGTCAGTTAACTTTTTATGTTGTCTCATTATTTAAACTATGCTAAAAAAAATACTTTAAAATTATTTTTAGTGAATATATATGTTGTCGAAGAGAGCAATATTTTAAATCCAACTCATGGTTTCTGGAGAGAAGAAGGCAAAACGATTAAGATAGAAGACTGTTTTAATAATTAGTTTTTGTTTTATGAAAGTTAATGAACTATACATGAACAAATTAAGTAAAATTAAAATAAAACATAAATAAATAAATCAGTAATAGGCAACTTTTCAAATAATTCAATGATTATTATCAACTAAAGTTTTAATACAATGCATTTAAAAGAGAAAATTTGATGGCGTAATGAACCTCTCAAGGAACAAATAAAGTGTTATTTTATATCTTATATATCAAAACAAAAATCTGACAGAGATAATTTTTTTTTACTGTTATTGAAATACTGAATCCATTCTCATATGCCCTAGCATGCATGTAGTTTGTAAGTGAACATTAGAGCTGCAGTACTTATCGTACGGACGATTTCTTTTAATTTAAAAAAAAAAAAAAATTCTTTTATTTCGTGATAAAACACACAACATAAAGTTTGGCTAACTTTTGAAACAGTCGGGGACTGGAGTGTCCTAGCCGCCAGGGACACAAATAGCTAAGTCGAGATTTGGTATGCAAGTTCTTGTGTGACGTACAGGCGGCACAAGAGGCGCCCAAAATAGCATTGGCAGTGACGCACGACCGAAAATGATCACGGTATCATGGCGGCTCACTCCGAGTCTGCGTATGAACATCAAATGATGCGATGGTTCAGAGACCTGTTGTGATGGTTCAGAGACCTGTTGTGATGGTTCAGCGACCGGTTTTGAGCTTCTTCAAGAAGAGGCCGCAGTCCTCCGGAGGCGTCGGATTGGTTGATGCGGAGGCCGGCGTCGAGACAGGGGACGCCACTGAGTTTTGTGCAGTATGCCAGTACTGCTGTCCCCTGACCAGTTCTGCTTGTAGCGCGTGCTGGCTGGTGAAAAGTGCGGGAAATTGCCGATAGATTGACGGGAAACCCATTTCTGTGGACTGAACCAACAGACAAACACATGAAGAAACAAAATAACTAAATAAGCACTCTTATCGCCATCAAGCTAATGTTTGAACATAATTTTTAAAATAAAAATCATTTCAAATAGGAAATGTAAGATGGTTAGCAATAACTTATGTACGTCATTTCAGAACAAATACTAAACGGAATATCATGATGAATAATTATATCTATATTATTTATATAAGTATACATCACAATTTTTTTTGGCTTAACCGTTGAAAGCCGTAACTAAAATTTTGTGTAAATCACAGTATTATATGTCTCAACTTTTGAACTTTTCAGAGAGTTTATCGTTTAATCATGCTTGGTGATACAAAATTGAGCCAACGTTCAAACAGCAGCTACGAAATAATAATCGCAATATAATCAATAATTTTTTTATATTATTTTTTGAGTGCTAGTTGTTTTCTGTTTTTCTTTTATGATGATACGAAGGGCGATGTTTGATCAGCTTTTTAATGGTTTAAGCCCCCAAAAAAGTAAGAATTCGTTGTAACCAAGGACATGAAAATTGCCTTTAAAATAATGAACTCACTATTCAGAGTTTTGACTGCGTAGCTTCAACAAGAGGTTCAACATAAAACATATACCGTTTTTGGACATAGTCGGATATTGGGCACGGGGATTTTTACGTATTTACACAGCCCGTGGATGTGTGTACTTAAGAAAGGCGCTCTACCGGTCACGTACAAAAACATTGTAGGTCTGCCACTGGAACGGACACGCCACTGTACAGGGGGAGCTGACGTGGAAGTTTTGATAGGGCTTCTCTCTTTTCCTCCACTTTGCGCGCCTGTTTTGAAACCAGACCTGTTGGGAACACATTAAGACATTATGTCACAGCATGGACAGGGTAATATGGCAATGGCCGTGAGTATTTTGTTTAAATTTAGTATTTTAAAATGAATGGTAAATATTAAAGGACTTTCAGATAATAACTTCTACACATTGCTCCATTAGTAGTTATTTCTTACACATATATATATATATATATATATATATAAAAGACGATTTTTATAATGTTCACTCTTACCTACTGTTGAGAAGAGACACAGCAAGGAAGATATAGGAAATTTAAGTCTGGCGTCAAACTTTGTAATATAAATATACGCAATCAAAGAGAAAATATCACTTTAGAAAAGTCAATCAATTAATTTCCAAATATTTAAATAAATTCGTCACCTGTATTCTAGATTCTGGAAGCTTAACCCTCGTAGCCAGCTTTTCTCTAGTGAAAATATCTGGGTAGTGTGTCTTGCGGAAGGTTCTCTCAAGTTCCTGTGAGGTGAATCAGACGAGGCAAGACATGACGTAAATGGCGCTCTACTTCAAAACAAAACAGTTCTGTAACATTGTGAGTTGTCCTAATTTCAAAATTCAATATTGTTTTTTGTTTTTTTTCTGATCCTCATTTTTAATGTAAACGGTAGCCTACTAAATCATTTGAAGATTAGAAAATGAACACCATCTCTACCCGACTTGAGCCGGTCAACACACCACATGGCTGACTCAACAGAAAGTTATTGGTTACGACGTGGCTCTTCGCACCCGGGTATCAGAAGTGAGAGGTTGGGATTAAAAAAACTATTTAAAATAGTATTGGTGGGTTTGTAAGACAACATCAGGAACCCAATGCAAGATAATTGAATGGATTATATGTTTGTAAACTTACTTCTTCAGTTTAACTAAAATAAACTACCACAAATGACATCCGTTGATACACAATTCTGTCTTACAAACCCAACAAAAATATTTTAAATATTTTTTTAATCCTAACGTCTCACTTCTGGTACCCGGGTGCGAATAGTGGCAGCCTATTGGTTATTCAAAATTTACCGCGGCTAAACCAACAGAAGGTAATTGGCTACACAAAATTTACCACGGCCAACTCATCCTATGGTCAAGGTCATGACCGGCACGAGCGTTTGACCCACCTGAAGTTGACGTGTGGAGAAGGTCGTTCGGTTGCGTTTACTCTTCACATTGACGCAGAGGTCACTGGGGTCAAGGATGTCATCGGAAGAGGGCGGCTCGACGTGTGACTCAGTGTCTGTGTGACGTGAGGCATTATGTGGACGGTGGGTCTCAAATTGTGGCGGATGGGTGTAGTTAAGCCCGACACTGTCGTCAAGACACTCTGCTCCTTTAGTCAAAATTAAAACAGAAATACGTCATTTACATTTTGTCGTGTTGTTTTTAGGTTGGGGTTGGTTTTCTTGGTGGGGGGGGGGGAGGAGGGGGGTATTTAAATTCACGTAATACAGTTATTTACACGTGATTAATTTTAAAGCAAAGGTGTTGCCTTTATTATTTAGCAGCGACACTTAAATAGAATTGAGATATTTTATTGCCTCCTAGGATAATAATTTAACTAAATATATATCGAATTAAAAAAAAAAAAATTAATCAAGAACATGAATAAAAAAAAATTAAACAAGAACATGAATTTAAAAAAAAAATTAAAAAAAAAAATAAATTTAAAAAAAAAATTAAAAAAAAAAAAAAAATTTAAAAAAAAAAAAAAAAAAAAAATATTATAAAAAAATAAAAAAAAAAAATAAAATTAAAAAAAAA